ATAAATAAAAGCAGAACAACATCCTGGAGGAAAAAACTACCAGAAGTTTCATTCACAAATTTATCAAAACAAAGTTAAGACAAAAGAAGCATTTTAGCGCCCCCTCGTGGAGATGGCCTGTTATTGGTTCCATTCACCCAACTCTATGTCAGCCCCCTATGTATCCCAAAGGGCTTTGCCTAAGGTAACTGCGACTCCCAGCCCTGGCCTTACTTGGCCTTCTGGACAAGAGGCTCATTCCCTCCACACGTGGGGACATCTGAAGTCTGCACCCCTGTCCCTCCTTCCTTCTTCCAGGCCATTAGGGGTGGTAACCAGGCTAAGAGGGTGCTTGGTTTTCCCACAGACTGACTCTCAGTATACATCGGCAGTGACAGAGAACATCAAGGCCTTGTGAGTACTGGAAACCCAAGAAAGCTGGTGAAGGGAAGGCCCTTGGGGTGCTGGGCAGACAGGAGCCTGCCTCCCCCACAAGATGGTGCCTTCCGTCTGTGGGGGAAGATGCTTCCCCTGTTGGCTGAGAGAGGGTGAGTGTGTAGGGGTGTCCAAGCCCCTCTGGAGCCTCAGTGCCTCAGTACACTGGTTTTGGTGGTGTGGGAAGGAGAGGGGATGTCTACCTGGTGAGCCCTAACAAAGGGTTGGCTCAGAGGCCCTCTTAGCCCTGGAGGCTACACACCCACTGGGCCTTCCTGCCCCTCTCTCCAGGTTCCCCACGGAGATCCATTCCGGGCTCCTGGAGGTCATTTCCCCTTCCCCTCACTTCTACCCTGACTTCTCCCGCCTCCGAGAGTCCTTTGGGGACCCCAAGGAGAGAGTCAGGTACTTGCCCACTTCCCCTCAACACCTTGGTGGCCCCAACAATCTGTCCACCTGCTGAGCCTGTTGGTATCTGAGTCCAGAGCACTTGTCACCATGTGTCTGTCCTTGGAGGACTGCTGCATGGGGATGGGGGATGGAGGATGGGTCCCTCCCACTCAGTGGCTTCTCTGGTAGTCACACTGGAAGTGAAGGAGTCTCAGGAGCTGAGACCCCTGCCCTCCAACCCACAGGTGGAGGACCAAACAGAACCTCGATTATTGTTTCCTCATGATGTATGCGCAGTCCAAAGGCATCTACTATGTACAGGTCAGCCCTGAGACCCTGTATGCCCCTGCTCTAACCCGGACCTTGGTTGGGCCTGGATGCTTAGCCCTGACCTGCCTCATATCCCTTCCTGCTCTGGCTTTGGTTAAACTTGGATGAAGGACCCTGCCCTGCCTGTGTCCATCCTGAGTCCCAAACTTTCATGCAGCTGGAGGATGACATCGTAGCCAAGCCCAACTACCTGAGCACCATGAAGAACTTCGCACTGCAGCAACCCTCAGAGGACTGGATGATCCTGGAGTTCTCCCAGCTGGGCTTCATTGGTATGCCAACCCTTACCCAGTCCCACTGGCCTGTCCACAGCCCTTCAATCCTGCCACCCCTCTGCTGTTAGCTCTTAGCTCCAGTATCATGCTGTCATGCTTATGAGCCTTTGTCCAGATTGAGGTGTTCTAGAGTGCCTGCTATAGCCCCATCTGCCCTCTGCATGGGGATGTCTGGGTTCACCATCCTGTCTATCCCCTTATGCCCCCACCTGCCAAAAGCTGTTTCACAGATTTGTAGTGGAACTCTTCCAGTGGCTCTCATAGGAATTAAAGAGGGTCAAGCAATGCTATCCATTCTGTACCCATTATTCCCCACCCCAACCCCACCTCCAGGAAAGATGTTCAAGTCATTGGACCTGAGCCTGATTGTGGAGTTCATCCTCATGTTCTACCGGGACAAGCCCATTGACTGGCTTCTGGACCATATTCTCTGGGTGAAGGTCTGCAACCCTGAAAAGGATGCGGTAAGTAGGGGGTGCACAGAGTGAGGAACAGGAGAAGCTGGGCATTCAGCCAATAGCATTTGACTGTGTTCTCCTCCACATGTCTGATCATGAGGAGATAGCCCTGCTGGCCAGGCCTGCCCTTGGAGTTAGGGCTGAGCTGAACCCTAGGGTGTCGCTCTCCCTTCACAGAAGCATTGTGACCGGCAGAAGGCCAACCTTCGGATCCGCTTTAAGCCGTCCCTCTTCCAGCATGTGGGCACTCACTCGTCACTGGCCGGCAAAATCCAGAAACTGAAGGTGAGGTATACCACATGCTCCTGAGGCAGGGATGGGGATCAGGGTGAAACTCACTCATGCTCAACTCACTGTTCCTCTGTGCCACAGGACAAGGATTTTGGAAAGCAGGCCCTGAGGAAGGAGCATGTGAACCCACCCGCTGAGGTGAGCACAAGCCTGAAGACATACCAGCATTTCACCCTGGAGAAGGCCTACCTACGTGAGGATTTCTTCTGGGCGTTCACACCTGCTGCAGGGGACTTCATCCGCTTCCGCTTCTTCCAACCATTACGCCTTGAGCGGTCAGTGTCAACAGCCACAGGGCCACATTGGGGGAGGGGGCAAGGTGCTGACCTCAGCACAAGTTCCTTTGCCTGCATATGACCCCCAGAAAATTGACCTCACTGTTATCTAACCTCACCATGCCTCAGTTTTTTTTTATCTGCAAAGTGGGGCTCATAACGGTACCTTACTACCTTGTGAGGACTAGTTTAGGCAGTGCCTCTAGGTGATGGTTGTCACTAGATCATTGTCAATGATCATTGTCCCAAGGTAAGGCCCTGGCTGCCTTTTATGGCCCATAGATCGCCTGTGATGGTATCTACCCCCCCTAGCTCTGGGGCCCACCTACTGCACTCCTGCCCAAGCCTGACCTTTTTCTGCTGAATCCTGGGCAGTGTGTCACCCTTTGCAGCAGCTCACCCATTTGTCTGGCCATGTGCAGGTTCTTCTTCCGCAGCGGGAACATTGAGCACCCAGAAGACAAGCTCTTCAACACTTCTGTGGAGGTGCTGCCCTTTGACGTGAGTGTTCCAGGATGTGGGTGGACACTGAGGCTTGACCCTCTCATGGCAACCACTCCAGCCCCTTGATTTGCCCCCAGAATCCCCAGTCAGAGAAGGAGGCCCTGCAGGAGGGCCGCTCAGCCACTCTTCGTTATCCTCGGAGCCCTGATGGCTACCTTCAGATAGGTGAGTAAAGGACAGTGGGGGCTGGGGGGGGCATCTGGCTGGGCTGAACATGCAGGCCCTGTTTAGGCTGAGTGTTAGGTTTTGGCATGTTTACTTCTCAGCACTGCCCTCCCCTAGGCTCCTTCTACAAGGGTGTGGCAGAAGGTGAGGTAGACCCTGCCTTTGGACCCCTGGAAGCACTGCGTCTGTCCATTCAGACTGATTCCCCAGTGTGGGTCATTCTGAGTGAGGTAAGCCAGGGCAAGGTGCAGGGAACAGCAGGGAAACCATGACAGAGCCCTAAGCCCTGAGCCCTGAGCCGCACTGACCCTGTGCCCAACTCCTCCAGATCTTCCTGAAAAAAGCCGACTGAGCGAGGGCTTCTGAGGGTGCTCTGTGGCCAGCCCTGAAGCCCATGTGTCCAAGGATGTTGTCGTTGCTGCCCCCGGAGGGCCAGGCGCATCCATCCTGTCCAGAGGGTTCTGTGCAAGGCCTGGGGTCCACCGCTGGCCCGGAGGCCCCAGGAGCTGGTGCTGCCCCTGCCCGCCGGCCGCGGGAAGAGGCAGGCGGCCCCCACACTGTGCCTGAGGGCTGGCCCACTGGCTGCCCGCCCGAACTGTTCACACCCAGCCAGCTGGCTTGGGCCAGGCCGTTTTAGAAGAGCTTTTGCTTGGGCGCCCACTGTCTCTGGCGCGAACACTGGAATGCATATACTACTTTATGTGCTGTGTTTTTTATTCTTGGATACATTTGATTTTTTCACGTAAGTCCACATATACTTCTATAAGAGCGTGACTTGTAATAAAGGATTAATGAAGTGTGTGCCTCAAATGTGAATGCTCTGAGTTCTGGCCAGGCAACTCCTGGTCTGCCTCTACACTTGCCCAACCTCCAAGGACCCCATTTGCTGGTGGTCAAAGGAAGCCCTGGTACTCAGAGACCCCACCCTGTATGAGTTGCAGTGATGGACTTGATCTCTCAGAGCTAGGCCAAGGGCCCAGCCTTCTGCTGATACATGTCCAGAGCTTCTGCAGCCACTGCTCAATAGGACCTTGCTCAATTCCAGATAGGGTCCTGGCAGTCTAGTCAGTAACTCATTGAGTTCAGGTCCAAGCACCCAAAGCTGCCCCCATCCTAGGAGTAATCCCTTCCTCAAGTATACCCTTTCCCCATATCACTGTAGGCTGGCGTCCCCCTGCCCCTGCTGCCTGTGCTGCCAGCTTTTCCTTGGTGCCTCAAGTTAAAGGTATTCTCCATCCTCTTTATTCCATCTCCTTCATGGTTCTCTGTTCTTGTCCTTGTCTCCTTCTCACTGGCTTCCCTAGTCTCAGACTAGGGTCTTCTTCCCTAAAACAAATGAGCCACCTCCAGCCAACCTCAGGGCACACATTTTTGACCCTGCTTATAAAACCTTTGTGCTCTGCTATCTAGGCCAAAAGTCACTTTTAGAAATGATTTTCCCATAGGCCTTCCTGGTGTCTGGTCCCCCAAAGCACCCTGATGTTTTCTTGAGAAAACCTATTCTTGACTACACTTCGGTTCATGCCCACTACTCTACTGCTCTTGACATGGGGGACACAGTACTGATCAAAAAAAGGGATCTCTGCTCTCATTTGGGGAGAGACTGACCAGTTCTGGTTGTGAAGGCAGTGTGGGGGAAGACGAGGAATTAGGTAGCCAAGGTCAGTGGAAGGGAAAGAAGGCTTGAGGGACACGGGTGAAAAGAACACTAAATGCGTGGGGGCGGGGTAAAGGTTTAGAGGGAAGGGAAGCCCTTTCCATACCTCCGAGCCCCAACACTACTGCCACCGCCAAACAGCTGAATCCCTGCAGGCTTTACAGCCTCTGATGCGCCCCCCCCCCCCCCCCACACACACACACGACCCAGAAAATGCAGTTGGGGGACCAGTCACGGAATCTTTAATTAGACACTGGGATGCAGGGGTGGGCAACCATCCTTTGCTCCTGGACTCTCTGGCTCTTCCCAACTTTGCCAACCCGCTGTCCTTCCTCTCAAGTCATCATAGGCAGCAGCATCTGGAACCGTCTGAGAAGCGCAGCTTGCAAGGTGGCCGGGAGGAAGTGGAAGAGTAGTCCGAGGGCAGCCAGCGCCACAAGCAGCCAGAGCGCGTGCGCGCTCGCGTACAGGGGGGCCAACCTGCGGGCCAAGCTCAGCGGGTGCAGGAGGAGGCTCCGCCTCTCTCCAGCTCACGCACCAGACCTGTCCACCCTCTCCGCTCAGGGTTAAGGCACCGCCTGGCGAGCCGATGGCCAGCTATCTGCCAAGGGCCCGGGCCTTCAGAACCCTGCCCATGAGTGATCTTTCCCCAGAACGGCTTTACTGGGAGTCCCGCCCGGGTTCTCACCTTAGTTGCGCCGAGCGCGCGTAGCCCTGGAAGTAGCGGAGGCGCGCGAACAGGTAGACCAAACCACACAGAGCTGCCGCACCTGCGAGAGTGACAGGTGTGCTTGCTGGCGCTGGGACCCCAGGGGACCCACTGCAGCGCCCATCTCCTGCCCCCAGACCTTCGTGGAAAAAGATGCCAGCGACCCAGAGCATTGCGAGGAACAGCGGGAAGTACTCGCTGCAGTTAACCCTGTGGAGGAGGCGGGGTAGATGAGACCGCCGGTCTGGTTGGTCCTCTGACCCTAATCCGCCTCATTCTCGCTACTCTCTCCGCGTCCTCCCGCCGCTCCTCACTGGGCTCGGTAGACGCGCTCGAACTCAGGCGGACCGGTGGTGAGCGGCGGGGACACGCGGAAAGCCCTGCGCGCCCAGATCACCTGCAGAGAGAAGTAGGCTGGGAGCAGAGGGGAGGCCAGAGTCAGGTCTGGACGCCCCGCAGACTTGTGAGGAGGCCTTCTCTTGTCTCACCCTGCACTTTCCCTTCTTCACGCAGAAAGATTCCCCTCTAACTCCATTCCACGAGAATCTCCTATCAGACCCGTCTGCCGGCTGCATCAAGGATGCTTAATGGGGAGGGCAGGGCTGAAGCTATGGGCAGGGAAAGGCCCTGTCCTTTCTGCCTCGTGAGTGGTGCCAACTGTTGGTGGGAAAGGCCACATGAGACTTTGCTCCTGAACAATTTGACTTGCAAAACTTAGGCAAATGCCCAACTTCCACTCTCTAGGCATGGACTTCAGCTTTCTAGTCTCTGGACAGGAAGTGCCACCGGTGGGCGGGGGTAGGGGGTGGGAGTGATGAGATGTGGGGGAGGAGGCTGAGGTAGAATTAAACTCTATTCCTCCAAATGCAAGGAAGCACACCCTAGTGGCTAAGAGAACATGTTCGCTCAAATCACCCAGAAAGGGCCCCCTGATGCTGCTTAAAGCTTGGGTCACTCAAGCCTGTGTCCCAAGGCCCCCAAACTGTGGCATAGGCTCCAGTCTATTTTTCTGTTCAAACATTATGGATTCAACCCTAAATCTTACAGATGCTTCTTTCCTGCTCCCAAGTAATTGCAGCCGGGACTTTCCCAGCCTAACTCCAAGATGCCCAGGAAAGGTGCAGAAGGTGAGCTGGCCATAGGGGCCCTTCTTTTGCAGTGTGGCCCTTTTGCAGTGTGCAGAGGTCTAGGCCAGGTCCTGACCTCATACACAGGCTTGTCTCCCAGTGAGTTCCATGGCCCTAGTGCCTTTGGTGCCAGGCCCTTTGTAGACATATCCCATTCCAAGTGTACTGTAGGTGCTAAGGGGTGACCATGCCAGCACAATGTAGATTATGGAGCTAAACCTGTGGCTACTTGAGAAGAAATTGGGGACCCATCTTGTTTGTGATGCTAGAGGTCAAGTTGACCTGCCTGTTTAGTCCTTTCAGGACCTCAGCACAGACTGTGCCATATCTTAGCCCTCATATTGCTGGGGCAATGGTGTCCTCAAGCAGCAGAGATATCTGGCCCAGGAATGTGTCTAAGGCCAGTCTGAGAAAAGCATCAAAGTCAGGCACCTTTCGGGGGACTAGGGAGCAGGTTTCAATCCTGTCCAGGTCTGCATGGTCCCAGTGTGGAAGGTGCCTTTGAAGGAAGGGCAAGGGAATGGGCACTTCTTGGGATTCCCAGAGAGAGACACTGGAAAGGGCAGAGATCAGTTGCTCTAAGCCCATGGCCTGCCATCCTCTATACACAAGGGCCATCCTACCTTGGGCCATGGAGGGAATTCTTCTCCCAAGAATGAAGGGTACAGTCATGAGTGGTCCCCCCATTCATCTAGGTGCTCTCCCACCCCCAAGTCCTACAGCTCCACACAGTTGGATACCACACTAGGATCCTTTGGGAGTCCTGCCCTCTTCCAGGCTTCTTATGCTGGCTAAGAGGCCACCAACCCCCATCCCCAAGCCACCACCTAGCATGCCTACTTCAGTTGTCCCTCAGCAGTCTTTTTCCTTTTTGCTGCTTGTCCCCCTTATTCATCCATCCCTCTCAGTGTTGGTAACTGCCCAGAGTTTCACAGCTTGTCCTGCAGACACCCCCCCCACAGCTTTCCCTTCACTACCTTATGAAAATCCAAGTGAGCCTCTCAACCAGAACTCAGGCCCTAGGGCATGCAGGTCTCCAGTGACTCTGGAAAAGTGTGGGCCTTGGCAATAGGAGCCTAGGCTGGAGGTAACCCTCTGCCCTTCACCCAGGTCTGGGACCCCCACCCCTTTCCCAGGGTCTGGAAGATAGAAGACAAATTGCATGGGTCTGAGGCCTACCCACTTCCAGATAGGAGCCATCCTACCTTGCAGCAGGACTCCCAGGAGGGTAACACTGGCCAGAAGAGCCACCTCGTCTTTCATGGTGCCAGTATTGGAAGGGCTAGCTGCAGAGTTCTTATCAGCCCATCTGCTGCTCAGAGGCGGGCCCCAGAGAGGAAGAGCAGCTCAGCACCCACTCCACCCCTTCTCAGTGGAGGGAGGTGCATAGCGGGGGAGTAACCACAAAGGCAGGGAGCCCAGGCTAGCTGGAAGGGCGGAAGCCAGAACTGGGGACAGTCTGGCCACTTCCCTAGTTCTTCTTGCCCCTTCCATGACTGGTTCTGTGCTGACAGAGCCCAAGCTGTCCACTCAGGCCTGCTTCAGCGCTGGGTTATGTCCAGTTGTTTTGTTCCCCCACAGTTTTTCCCTTGCTCTGCACCCTTAGCTGGTCCCAGATGGCCCTTCAGACTTCCCCTTCTTCCCAAGTCCTAGACTCCAGGCTCCCAGGCTCCCAGCCCTGATTCCCCCACCCACCCATACCCACACTTACCTATTTCTCCACCTCTAACCAGGGCTGTTCAGTAGTGTACAACCTTAAACAACAATGACTGTAACTTTCCCAGCTTCCTCTGGCCTCATAATGAAGTCCAAGTGCCCCCAGTCACACTAGGCCTAGCCATGTTCTTGCTCCTTTCAGGTAACATCATGCCTGCCATCCTGGTAGCCTCTATGCACAAGGGCCATCCTACCTTGGGCCATGGAGGGAATTCTTCTCCCAAGGCCTCCTGGTTGGCAGGGTGGGTCTTCTTACTTGGGAGTCTCTGACCCCAAGCAGTCATCTGGCTTTTTCTGCCCAGCATCCCAGTTAGCTCAGGATAGCATTTCTCACTTTTCTGAGGCCCCAATCCTCCCCACACTTCAGTCCTGTGATCTGAACAGAACTGACTCTTGCCCCTCCCAGGCCTTGGGATGGACAAGTGAGCCAAAACTGTGAGCCAGCCAGGCACAGTGGTGTGTATCTGTAATCCCAAAGGCTCGGAAGGCTGAGACAGGAGAATCACAAGTTCAAAGCCAGTCTCAGCAACTTAGCAAGACCCTATCTCAAAATAAAATACAGAAAGGGCTGCGGATAGGCTCAGATGTTAAGCGCTCCTGGGTTCAACTCCTGGTATCAAAAAACAAAACTGTGTGAGCCAAGGCTGACTCAAGATGGTGAGATGTGATTCTGGAAAATTCATTAGCAATTTGGGCAAGGAAGTTTAGAGTTGGGAGAGAGACTGCCAAGGGCACCAGAGGACTCCGGCTTGCGGGAGTCCCTGGGGCTCACCTTGCCTGCCATGCTCTCCCAGGCCTTTTCAGGGTTGTGTTGTTGTTGTTTTGTGATACTTGGGACTGAACCTTGAGGTACTTACTCTACCACTGAGCTACATCTCCAGCACTTTTGATTTTTTATTTTGATACAGGGTCTTGCTAAATTGCCAAGGCTGCCCTTGAACTTGCGATCCTACTGCCTCAACCACAGAATAGAGTAGCTGGGATCACAGGCGTGTTCCCTTATACCCAGCCAGTCTTTTCAGTTTTGTGAAATGTCACTTCTCTTTTTGACTAAAGCTGTTTCGAGGTGGGTTTGGTCAGTGGTAACAGATTCCATATTGATACAGATGCAAAGGCATGCCAGCTCGGTGACATGCTGGTAATACCAGAGACTGAGGGTTGAGGGTACAAAGGTAGGGGCCATTGGAGGCCACAAGCAAGCCTGGCTGTGCTGTGGAAAAGGAGGGGACAGAGTAACTGCCACTTCACCAGGTCTTGAGCCACCAGGATGCTCTCCCACATGCACACACTGGCTGGTCACACTAGGAGAGTCTCAATATGTCTGGGTCATATGACCTTGGAAGCTCCATGCTTAGCACACAGCTAGCCTCCTTTCTTGTTGTCCCCAAGCCCTGGTTCCAACCTGGGGACTTTGTGCCTGCTGGGCTCTCCCAGAACCCCTTTCTCCGTCTCCTCACCTGGCCAATAGTCACTGCCCTTTGCTCATCATCATCCCCAAGACAACAGATGATCCCCAACTGGGGGCCCTGCAAGTTCTTCAAGGTCAGGGGTGGGTCCTCATGCTTGTCCCCTGACTTAGGCCAACATCTAACAGGAGCAATTATGCCAAGGGCTGGAAGATGATTGATAGAAGCCAGGAGTCTGAGTGCCAGAGAGCAATGCCAGCCACATCTTTGGGCCTTCTCTGCCACCCAGCCCACTTCCTCCCTGAACCTGTTATTTATTTATTTTTTTTTAATATTTATTTTTTAGTTTTCGGCGGACACAACATCTTTGTTTGTATGTGGTGCTGAGGATCGAACCCGGGCTGCACGCATGCCAGGCGAGCGTGCTACTGCTTGAGCCACATCCCCAGCCCCCTGAACCTGTTATAAGGAGCCACTTCAGAAAACACTCTAAGTCCAAATTCAAATCAAAGAGAACTTTATTTACCTGGCCAGGGACTGTCACCCACCTGTAGAGACTGAAGCTCTGTGGGAGAACAGCCATTTCCTGGCCTGTGTCTTGGGAATTTAAGGACGAAAACCACAGCTCAGGGGCTTTCCTTAGCGTCATGCAAGCAAGCCAATCATAGAAGCTAAAACAGCAGTTAGCACAGCAACTCAATCACATCTTGGGTTTGAGCAGGTGTCAGACAACCTTATCCTGAGTTCAAGCAGGTGATTAGTGGGAGCGAGAATCTACTTCAGAGTCTTGGATCACCAAGACCACCATATCCTGGGTTGAGTACATTTTGTAGGGTACAAAATACAGAATACCATACATTATAAGAAAACAGCTTTCATTTCAGTTTCTCAGAAACAGCTCTTGTAACAGTTTTTTTTTTTTTTTTTACAGAAGGCAGCAAAATGGAGTCTTAGGCCCACCTATGACAGTTCTTGCTTTATAATTGTCTTATCTCACTTATCAAAATCTTATATCTATAATCTATATTTTTTACTAATCTATAACCTACAACTTACACTCTTACTGATTGTATTTATCAGTTCACACCACAACAAACCTTCCCTGACTGCAGCCCCTACGGCTCTGGTCTCCCCTCTAGACTACCAAGGCCTGTATTAGGGAGGGCAGAGCACATGCTGCTAGTCAGGCACCAGCATAGGATCTGGCAGCTGTGCCCCCATGTGTCTCTGTGAACTGTGTGGTTGCCCACATGCCTGTTAGTAAACTTTTACACACCTCTGGAGTCTCTCGGTGCATTGTATCAGAGCTTACCCATGGGCCTGTTGGCATGTCTGGGTCTTTAGTTCAGACCCTCTCTCCACCAGGCTTTCATTTCCTCCGAGGCCTGGATGTCCTCCCATCCAGGAACATCCCCTCTGCTCTAATAACAGGAAACTGTTGCCTGACATCAGCAGATTCTGAGGAAGTCCCTGGACAGATGTCCAGGCAGGGTCCAGGGTCTCAGTCTGCTTTGTGCTCACCTCCTTCACTGAGTTGCCCAGACTCTCAGGACCCTGTCTAGGGCTGGCCATGCTCAGGCTGACAGGAAGAGCCAGTCCAAGGTCCACCAGGCACTGGCCACCCACCTTCTGCCCCCTGTCAAGCCCTGGAGACACCAGGGCTGTGAACAGGAAGGGAAAGCTCCTCCCTGAGCTTCTGCAGAACCTGCCCTGTGTGACCTCAGCCCCCACATGGCCAGGAAGAACCTTCTGGATGCTGAGCTCTTGAAGGGCCTCTGGGATGTAGAAAGGCCCTGCTGGTTTTCAACCGTGAGGTTGAAAAGGAATCAGAATGCAGATACAATAGACCAGCAGCAGCAGTACACAACATAGACCCTCAGCTGTAAAGTACAAATAAATGAATATGTAAATACAGAAACCATATTATACTTACAAAAAATTGCAAAAATAATACCCTCTTCACTCAGCCTCCTCTAGTAGTAAGTATATGGGCTGGGGCTGGGGCTCAGTGGTTGAGCACTTGCCTCGAACATGTGAGGCACTGGGTTTGATCCTCAGCACCACATAAAAATAAATAAATAAAGTTATTAAGTCCATCTACAACTAAAAAATATTTTAAAAAGATATATAGTATAAGCATCATATAATTATGTAAACCAAGAGATTTCACATTGATATCTTCAAGCCATTTTACAGATTTTATTTAAATTTCAGTAACTGTCCCACTGAAAGAGTACAGAGACTTTGAGAAACACAAAAGACCACAGATTCTATTTACATGAAATGTCCAGAAAAGGCAACTCCGTAAAGTCATAAAACAGGCCAGTGGTTGCCTACAGCTGAGAGCATGAGGGACCTTATCGGAATGATGAAAATGTTCTAAAACCAGCTTGTGGTAGTGTTTGAACAAGTTGGTAAATTTAATAAGAATGATTGAGTTGTATGCTTAAAATAGATGAATTTTGTGGTATATAAATGATACCTCAATAAAGATGTGTTTAAATGTTTGTAAATAAGGGCTGGTATACGGCTTAGTTGGTAGAATGCTTGCCTAGCATGCACAAAGCCCTGGGTTCAATCCCCAGCTCCACCAATTAAAAAAAAAAAATTACAAATAATGTTTGCATACCTTTTACCTATTTTCTTCAAATGTTGACATTTTTTTTTTTTTCTTTCAGTGCTGGGAATTGAACCCAGGGCCTCTTTCATGCTAGAAAAGTTTTCTACCACTGAGCTATACCCCTAAGCCCTCCACCGTCTTATAGCAACAATAAAATTATCAAAGCCCGTAAATTAACATTGATATAAGACTATTAACTAATCTACAGACTATTAACTTTTCATTACTATAACAAAATACCTGAGGCAGGACATTTTGTAGATAACGAAGTTTATTTAGCTCACAGTTTTGGAGGCTAGACATTCAAATAGCATGATGCAGGTTTTGCTGAGGGTCCTTCTTGGCTATATAACATCACAGCATGAGTATGGTATGTCTCTGTGTGTGTCTGGTCTTGCTTTCTTTCCTTATTAAATTAACAGGGATTAAATCACGAGGACTCCACTCTAATGAATAATCTAACATATTCACTCCCCCAGTGCCTCACCTCTACACACTATAATCCAATTAATTTCTACCCTCTTAATACCATTAACATGAGATTTGGGAAATTCAGCTCCTGCAAGAGTTGGGTAGGGAGGACAAACATCATTCAACCATAACAT